AAGTTTAAACAACAAAAAGCTAAATTTAGAAGTCTTACTAACTGATAAAGCATTGAACTTGGATGTCTTATGCTTTACTGAACATTGCTTGAGAGAAGATCAAATTGATTATTATAATTTTAAGAACTATTCCCTTGTTTCAAAAATTTGTAGGAAAAATAAATGGCATGGAGGTTCGTGTATTTATATTAAATCAAATCTAGAAGGAAAGCCCTATAATCTGTTTGAAAGCATGAATCAAGAAGAACATTTCGAGGCCAGTATGGTTCAACTTACCAAGTTTAATACAATTATTATTTGTGTGTACAGAACTCCTAATAATAATATTAATGCATTTATTGAAATCCTGGATACTATAATAAATATTTTAACAAACCAAAGGTAGAGCATTATTATTGTAGGTGATTTCAACATAGATTTCTTGGGTAACAGTGTAAATCCTCAATTACAAATAATGTTAAATTCATATGGTCTACAAGCAATAGTCGATGTCCCAACAAGAATAGGATTTAAAAGTCAAACAGCAATTGATCAAATAATATTAAATAAATACTTATGGGATTACAACTTTAAGGTAATTGAACAGGATTCTCTGATCATTTTGCACAAATATTACAAGTACAGATGCAGCATATAAATAAAAAGAGGCAAGCTGCAGTTAAAGAAGAATTCAGGACAATTAGACCTTGTACTGAAGAAAATGTTCAATACCTAAACTACCTATTAGAGGAGGAGTCTTGGGAACATGTTTTTAGGCAAACTTCAGTAAATGATGCATATAATGAATTTTTAGGTACCTTCCAGTATTATTATAACATAGCTATGCCTAAAAAGCGGGTAAAAACTAATCAAATAGGAAATAAATGGGTTACCTCAAGTATAAGGGTATCAAGCACCAGGCTCAGGTTTCTTAATAGATTAATGAAAGAAAGAAACATATCAGAAGAGTTTAAAAAATATTACTATCGGTATAAGAAAATTTACAACAGAGTAATTAGCGACGCCAAGAAATTATCTAATATCATACGGATAAGTACAGCATGAAACAAATCTAAAGCTATGTGGGACCTAATTAAACAGGAGTTACGCAGACATAAAAAAGAAACTAGGAATATTGAAATAAATGTAAATGGAACAAATACACAGGATTCAAAAGTCATAGCTAATGTCTTTAATGACTATTATACCAGCATTGCTCACGATATCTTGAATAGAAATCTACTACAAAAAAATATTGAAGTTAGTGCCAATGCAAAAAAATATAACAGTGGTAGTATGTATTTAAATCCAACTACAGCAGCAAAAGTGGCAGGCATAATAAAAAAAATTGAATAACAAAAAATCAACCAGTGTAGATGAAATCTCAGATTATATTATTAAGAAATGTTATCCTAAGATAACACATGCTTTGACATACATAATAAACTTGTCATTCTCAACTGGATATTTTCCAGACCAGTTAAAAATTGCAAAAGTGAAACCATTGTACAAAAAAGGACTTGATACAGAAGTTGGGAATTATAGACCAATTTCGCTGATCTCTGTTTTCTCAAAAATAATTGAAAAAATCATGCAGACAAGACTCTTATCATTTCTAAAAAGCCAGAGTATAATTAGTGATAAACAGCATGGCTTCTGTAAAGCCCGCTTTTGTTTCTTTTATACATAAATGATTTACCCCTACATATAACAAATGGGGAGGTTGTCCTCTTTGCAGACGATACCAATATATTGGTTATTGATAAAGATAAAAGCATCCTTCAAGATAAAACAAAGAGAATTATGATCCAACTGGAATCTTGGTTTTCAAAAAACAATATGATTATAAATAATGATAAGACTAAAGCTATGTTATTCCAGTTAAAGAAACCGCATGACATCACAGGGCCAGCGTAGTGTTATTGAGCTCGGCTGCACACTAAGATTACATTTCTTTATACAGTTTCATTACACTGAGTGCTTGGTTTGTGGCTGGAAGTGTTCTGTCAAGCTGATTAGTTCGATCATGGCATCATCTCATCTGGAAGATTCCGACATATTTCAGCTGCTCAATGACACAGATTCAGATTGTTGTACTGACAATTCTGAGAGTGACGTTGAAGGTAGCGATTCAGAAAGTGATATCAATGAAGACCAATCATCTTCGTCGGCAACCTGGGGACCACCACACCAGCGTGGCACGAGGAGTGTGAATACTTATTCAGGTGGAGCTGTGGGGTTAAAACCCCATGAAGCTCCACATGTAAATAAGGATTCCACCCCTTTCAGCATTTTCATGCTGTATTTCGCAGAGATTATCCATCTGCTGGTGGAAGAGACGAACAGATACTACCACCAGCACGTAGACAGACGTCAAGACGGACCTTCTCCGCGGCCTGACGTGACCGAATCCGAGATGTTTCTGTTTCTAGGAA